CCCTATCTATATAAATAATTTAAATTGCCTTTGTTTGGGCCTTCTGCTCCCTCATTTAGGATCAGCGAAGACCTCCACCCGCCCACCCACAATGCATTTCTGATCAACTGAAACGATTCCCTCCCCCAACTCAGTTTTGTTGAATGCCTCCTGCGGCATCAAAATTAGTGGAAAGAAGGGGGGGCGCGCGTGAGCATTTAAATTGGGCTGTTCAGCAGCAGTTTGAAATGAGAAAATTTGGTTTTGAATTGTTCCAGACCTCCTCCTCTTTCTCTCCTCCCCCCCCCGCCTGTGATAATTTGATAAAGAACTTCACCCTAATTAAATATTCAAATGTAGCGCCCGTGTCAATATGGCTTCCCGTTGCCTGGAATGATGATTAATTGTATTCAAAACTCCAGTGGCCGCCGTTAATCTCGACTCAGCCATTGTTCCTTGATTGTTCCTGCAACACGATTGCTGATCCTCTTCTCCCTCCTCCCAGCCCGGCTTTGTTCGGGATTTTTTCCCCCTATGTGTGTGTGTTTCAGAATTGAAGCTAGTAATTGATTTGCCATATGCCGCCAAGCTGCTCACGATTTTAACGATATGTGTTTAGGAACTCGGGGATTTTATAAATTGGGCTGTTTCTTTTCCCCAGCGATGGGGTCTGTGTGGGTGGGTGGGGAAAACATTCCACATATCTGATTTCCTGTCTACAGTGCAAGATGACAAGGTGTTTTATAATCATCAGGAAAATGCATTTTTGCCATCGGCTATCAGGTAGAAGTTCATACCTGCTGCAGTCAAACGGATGAGGTTGAAAAAGTTGAAGCTGAACCCAGAATGAGCTGGAGAAGGTGCTGGTGGGACACCCTCCGGGCTTAGAATTTTATTTGATTTCCCTGGCCCGCACGTTACGGAACCTGGGATCACTTTTTGATTTTCTGGTTGCTGGCAGAGTTATGTGGGTGTGCTTCTGTTTGTTGTATCACTTTTCAGCTTTTCCAAAAAGTCATCAAAGCGGCTTATGGCCATACATTGGTGGCTGCCTTGTAGCACATCAGACAATTGGTCCGTAGAGCTGTGACTTTTGTGGTTGCTCCAGTCATCAGGCAGTGTGACGACTTTCTCAGTATTCGCTACTTGAGAGTAGCCGGATGCCTTCCGAATGTAAAAGATGTGGCTGTCCATGGCTGAGCTGTTGGCTGCTGCTCATGAGAAGTGACTTTTATCCTGAGTCAGACCCTTGGTCTATCTACCCCACTACTGTGTATTCTGAAAGTTTCTCTGGGATCGCAGATGCCAGCCATTCTCAACACCTGCTGCTTGATACCCCTACCTGGAGATGCCAAGGAGTGAACCTGGGACCTTCTGCCAGCAGACTAAGCCCAGTGTGTTTGTAAATACGAAGCTGAGTGATTTTAAGTCAGACCATTAGTCCATCGAGTTAGTTGTTGTCCACTCTGCCTGGCAACGGCTCTTCTGGGTCTTTGGCAGAGGAAAGTCCTTCCAAACACCTGAAAGCTCAAGAATTTCTAAGGGTTCAGCTGGGAAGACCAGAGGACGGGAAAAAAAGAAGAGGACAGCAAGTCTAGTGGCGAGCTGGACTCAGGTTCTTCCGGAGAGGACTCTCTGACGGAGCAAGGGGCAGCTGCCCCAAAAAGTCCTTATAAGCTGCGGAAGAGACGAGGAAAAGAGAAGTAAAGGCTGAAAGACTCTGAATTGTGCCTTTGAGAACTGAGAATGGGGATGACGGGGGGTTACTGTTCTTAGACAGTTAAGTTTTAAGAGTTAATGAAAAGGAAAAAGTACTTAAATGTCTGACTCAGTTTATATTGATCTAAATGAAATGAAGACTTGATGTAATGAAGCTAGTGAGGATCTCCTCTCTTGGGTTTTTAGTCAGTAGTGGGTTTCTATACTTTGTCCCGTATATGTAGTCCCCCTTCCCTTTTTCTGTGATAGTTTTTGTAGTTGGAAAAAAAATAATAAAAAATCCCCTCCGGGGGCTCAACCCCCCCCCAAACACCTGAGATTCTTTATCTGTAAATACCAGAAATAACCTGCAGTCTTCTCTTTGCAAAGCAGGTGCTCTGCAACCCAGCTGCAGCCCCATTTTTTTTCTTTAAAAAAAGGGTGTTTACATTAACTTTACTGCTGGTGGAGTGACGCTCCCACCTCCTTTGGAAGGTGCTAGTATTCAAGGAGCTACTTGCAGTGACTTCAGCTTCTGGAGGACTGTACAGTCTCTGCCATTCTCTGGATGGCAGAGATCTTACCATGCTGATTTATGCTTTTCTTATCTCTAGGCTTGGCAACCATACAATGCTCTGAATGGGGCTCTCCTTGAAGACGAGTGTCAGCTAGTGCAAAAATAAGCCTGTTCATCTCCTTAGTGAACATTTTATACTCTCATTTATTTATTTATTTATTTATTACATTCTATTTGTATACCGCTCACCCCCTGAGGGCTCTGAGCGGTTCTCCATTACACACAACACAAGCCAATCCTAATCTAGAGCCACATACATACAAGGGGGAGAGTGACTAGCCTACCAGGCACCCTTGTAGCGAGTCGTTGTTGTCTGCGGGAGCTCGTCCGACGACGTCCTCCTGGCGCTGGTCTTTGATTGTTGTTGTAACTTCCTGGCTGTTGCAACTCCTTCAGGCTTGGACCGAGTGCACGTCTGCGCGTGCTTGCTGCCGGCCTCTGTCCAGTAGGCTCCGGCCTGCTGCGTCGCCCCGCCTCCGTGCTTTTGCTGGCCCAGCCTCCTCTCACTCGCTTTGCCTCTTGATGTATCATCTGCACTGGTTGACACCGGCTTCTGGCTTCATTCAAGATTGCGAGGGGCCATGGCTCAGTGGTAGAGCTTCTTCTTGACATATACAGAAAGAAGGTCCCAATTCAATCTTGGGCATCTCCAGCTATAGGGATCGGTTAGTAGGGGATGTGAAAGATCTCCACCTGAGACCTTGGAGAGCCATTGCAAGTCTGAGTATAAAATACTGATCTTGATGGACCAAGGATCTGATTCAGCATAAGGCAGCTTCATGTGTAAGATGATGGGTCTGACCATTAAGGAATGTCACCTTGGATCAATATACTTCACAGTTCATATTTCCTTGTGTTGCCTCTTTCCACCAGTTTGGTATAGTGATTAAGTGCGCAGACTGTAGTCTGGGAGAACCGTGTTTGATTCCCCACTCCTCCACACACAGCTGCTGGATGACCTTGGGCAAACTATAGTTCTGTCAGAGCTGTTCTCTCAAAGATAGTTCTGGAAAGAGCTCTCTCAGCCCCACCTACCTCACAGGGTGTCTGTTGTGGGGAGGGGAAGGGAAAGGAGTTTGTAAGCCGCTCTGAGACTCCGAGTGAAGGGCAGAGTATAAATCCAATCTCCTCCTTCTTCTTCGCTCTTCAAATTAAGTTTTAATTTGCATTGGCATAGAAAGTGACGACTGTCACTGCCAGAAACAGGGCCTTGGCAGTGAGGCTTCCAGAGCAAAGTTATTTACTCTTTGGTTTGGGTATAAAGAACAACTGTAAAATTGCAAACATGTAAAGGCTTTCTTGGGGGGAAGCCCTGCTGGAAACCAAGTGACTGGTAAACTTGATGGCTTGTAATCATGCATAGGATTGGTCTGTAAATTATATGTCAAGCACATGTATAAACATTTTGCTTATTTCTACCATAATCAAAGGAAGATTCAGAAATATTCTGAGCACTAAAACCCCACACTCTTCACCCTGTTCTTTGGTTTACCTTTCCTGTTTCCCAGCTTCTGTGATTTCATCAGACTTTACCAATATTCCAGTCTGCCCCTGCAGCCTAAGGGGCTAGGAAAAGGGATGGGCACAAACTGTCTGACAGTCTGAAGTTCGTCATGAACGTTGTCTAGTTCATGGTTTGCAAAGCGATGTTCATGAACTGAAGAACTGCCATGAACTTCCACAAATTTTGATGCAGTTTGTGGTGGTTCATGTCTTCACAGAAAACAGCTGTTTGGTTTAAATGGCTCGGAGCTATTTAAACCCCTGCTTTCTGCTCCCTGTGAAAAGCTGTGCGGAGCAGAAAGCAGAGGTTTAAGCTTTAAATGGCTCACAAACCAAAACAAACCGATTCGTCTCACAAGCCGGCGTATCAGTTCATGGTTCGGCTTGTGGTTCAGCCATACACTGAACTGCAGAAATATGGTTCGTGACCATCCCTAGCTAGGAACTTGATTCAAAAAGCAAACAAACAAAAGCACAGGAATCACAGGATGCTCACATTTACTGAGTCTGGTTGTTTTGTTCTTTCATAGTACCATTTCAGAACACACCCAACTTTGATTATGCTTCCTGTCTTCCCCTTAACAGGAAGGAATTTATCCAAAGGTAAAAAAATAAGAGAATGGCAATGTGTAACGCTGTCCCAAGTAATTTCTACATAGAAGCCAGACTCCCAACTCTATCCCCCAGCTGTTGTGAACTGCCATCAGGGTGGGGTTAGGGTGTCTGAGGATCTTTTAGGATGCTTCTGCTGAAATCCAAAGTTATCTATTGTGTCAGGCTGCAGGCACAGGATCATTACAGAGCCTCACATTCTCATTCTGCCTGACCAGCTGCCTTCACTAAGCCTCCTGTGCAAAATGGTGTCTGTGTTTTCTTCTACCATCGGGGGGGGGGGGGAGAGATACATAGCAATATTAAAATAATGTCAGCGTATTATGTAAGATGAGCCTTAGATCAGTATAATGCCAAAGGTATAGTCAAAGGAATATTAAAGAAGGGGGTTGGGAAAGGCCTTGAAGAGTCAACAGTAAACAGAATAGAACATGCTGGGCTGGATGGACTAAAAGTCTGACTTCACATAAGGCAGCTTCATAGTTCTAGTATAATAGTTGATCTTTTAATGCTTATTCTATGCCAGTATCCAGGTTGCATCTAGGGCTCCTGTTGCTCCCTCCTGATTATATTGCTGGCGGTTTCTCTTTGTAGCTCTCTGCTAATGTTATCTCTTCTCTTTCCTCATTAGGCATATATCCCTGACACTTCCTGCCAGCTTTCGAGGGAAAGGGCATGGCACGCGGCCGGACTTCGAGTACCAGCACTCTAATTTATATGCCATATCGGGTAAGACACAGACTGCATTGGTTACTGGAGTTGCTTGTTGCGTATAGGCTTAACTCTAAGGACCAGCTTGTCTGGCAATAGCAGCTCTAACTTTAGGGGTACACATTTAAAAGTATGATGGGAAAGGTGAACCCCATAACCTGTTACCCTGATGCAGACGATATAGAGAGTGGCCATGAGACATGGTTCACACAGGAATCCTCAAAGGAGCCTCCATGTGGTGAGCAGTCTCTGATTGACTGTGGTAGTTACTGGTTTTAATGGAACCTACAGCCAGTAGGAGGGTTCCATTCCAGTTGCTTGCTCACTCTGCTGCTACTGGTCCGCTTGCATACTCTTTGGCACTATGGCAATTCTACTGGTAGAAAAAAAAAAAAGAAGAGCATCAGATAAGACTGCAGCAGCTGTTGTTTCTGACGACGAGAGGGTCTTCTTTTTGCCCTCTTTCCGGGCTGCTGCTGGCCCACTTGTTCACTCACCATCACATGGATCCCCCCCCCCCCCCCAAGGGGCCCCCCCCCCCCCCAGCTGCAGAGATCAATGTCAGCAGCACAGCACTGCAGAGTGATAATCTTTTTCTTTCTCTGTGGCTACAGGTAGAATCCCTGAACTGCTGGTGGGTGAATGAGCAAGTGGATGAGCTGTTGGCTCATATTCACCACCAGGGGTCCGATAGGGGGCCTTGCTCCGTTCAGGGGTATTCAACTTTCCTAATTTCAGCTTTCATTTAAAAATGAATACATTTGAAGCCTTCTTATTTGGAAAGATACACTGAAAAGCATGCAGACAGTATTCTGTTTGGTTAGAAGCAAACCTTTTCTGACCAAAGGGTGCAGTGGAACTGGGATAACTAGCCAGTACTAGGTACTTCTTAAACTTTATCAAATTAAGTGTTGGTTCATTTATCCTGAACTACTTTACATGCTGTTGTGAGGACGGGGTGAGGAGAGCATGTGTGCCCGTCTGAGCTCCCATATTAGGATACCGGATCCATATTGATAGCTCCATGTGTGTCCAGACAGTCCCTCAAAAATTCTGACTATAGAAGTGGCAGTGAGAGGCAGGGGTAGGACACCAATCTCTGTCTGACTGTTGCAGCTGTCAGGACTAGCAGCTGTTACAGTCACCTGGAGGCTCCAGCCATGTGGAGACTTTCTATTTAGGCTTCCTCTGGGAATTCGTTGCCATTGGAGAATTGCACCAAAGCATTTCTCTGGCAGTGTAAGAAATCCTTGGTCACAACAGTCTGTGCAGCCTGGCCAATCGGAGCTGTGAAGTATCTTGGGTCAGCCCTGTTAGCCATTATAAGAGAAGAAAATAGAGTTTCTGTATTCAGAGGTAACGTATTTCAGATTATCATATTCTGGGGGGAGACAGGTGAGGATCACTTTCTCCATCATATTCTGCCTTGTGAGTCATTCAGGGGTGTCTGGCTAGTGATTCTTTGGGAATAGAATGGCCTTACTTAACATATTTATATAGCCACCTTTCTCTTGAGCACCTCAAGACCCTTTGGCCTCGTCCAGCCTCTGTCACGCATGTTGCTTTCAGTGCTGAATTTCCACAGAGCATGGTGAATTATGTTAATGTGCAAGAGGAAGATTTCTTTCTCTGGGGGAAAAAAGGTGGTTTTTTAAATTATTTTTCACAAGGTAGGGGGAAGAGAAATAAGAGTGACGGTGTGACAGTATTTGCTGTAGGCCCTGTAAATGGTCTCAGCTGCTGTGTGTCTTTTAAGCAGATGTCCTCCTGGGTTTTTAACTAGATTTTCAGAGCATTTAGACTTTGCAAACAGAACTGATGGGGGCCTTATCTTTCAGGCAAGATCTCCTGTCAATGAACTGTCTTATGAAATGGTATGCCCAAGATTTGGTGATCACCGGCTGTTTAGGGGACTTTTTAAAAAATAGGTTAGGCAAATTCTCAGGTAGGCAATTAGCCATGATAGCTAAATAGAACCTCTGTTTTTAGAGGCTGGCTACCTCTGAATGCCAGATTTCTGGGGACAAACACCGGGCTGTTACCCTCTCACCCTGCTTTTGGATTTCCTTGATGCATCTGGCTGGCCACTGCTGGAAACTGTTTGGATGACTATTTGGTGATGTTCAGTGGGCAATTTATATGTGTTTGTGATAGGCCTGTCACTGTGCGTTGGTTGTGATAGCTCCATGGAAGCTCCATGTATGCAGGCAGGCATATCCCTAAATACCAGATGCTCCCAGAGGTATTTGGTTGGCTGTCATTGCAAAGGTGGAAAAAGTGGGTGTTTTAGATCTGATCTTGTAGCAAAGTGCTTATAATGTCATTACTGGGGAGTGAGGCTTTTGAGGACGTATTAGCCATGATAGAACTTCCATGTGCAGCGGCAATCTACCACTGAATTCCTAATCTTACCTAGGACTGACAGGCAGTGGCTATCATTCTTTCTAGTTAAACAGTTGCCCGGCTTCTGTTAAGAGTGGAGCGCCGCTTATATGGACCTTGATCTGATTATTTTTTAACAGTGTTATTTTATGCAAAGGGGGCATTGCCAAGAGGAACTAGGATTTCCCAAGTGTTCGAGCGGTGAATTCTGGCAGGGTACATCTGGTGGCTTGCTGAGCGGGAAGTGGAAAAGAGCTTGTTGGCTGGCTTCTTTTCTCCCACCCCCCCTTTCCTTTTTTTTATTAATGGTGAGTGACACTTATATCAGAGGAACATGGCGTTAACTCATGTACCTTAATGAAAGGGCCGTTCAAACAGTAATATCTTGCTAAAACTGCCGCCGTAGGTTTCTAAATAGCCAGAGTAGAACAGTGGCATAATTCATGTCACTGTTAGTTTTTCCTTGTTACTCTGGTGGTCTAATGGGTTTGGAAATGGGAAAGCAGAAACGCTGCCCTGGCAGTGATCCTAGATGGGGTGGGTGGAGGTGAAAGGAAAGTTGTGAGTTTTTACTCAGAGCGGTAGTTTCAAATAACTTTTCTGCCTGGACTTGCTTGAGAGAGAACCTAACCGCACTGATGAGAATAACCTGTTGGATCATACTAAAGGACCATCTAGCCCAGCATTCTGTTTCCGTCAGTGGACAGCCAAATGCATCCAGAATGCTCAGAAGTTTAATATTAATACTCCTTAACACTTATATAGCACTTCTGACATTTAAAGCACTTTGCATATATTAGCAGTTTTTGCAACAGCCATATATATGATATGTTGGGATTGCTATTCCTGTGTTGCAGATGAGGAACTGAGGTCGAGAGCTGGCTGAAGGCCACCTAATGACTTTGTGGCAAAGGCAGGATTTGAACCAAGGTTCTCAGTGCACTCAGCCACTGGACTCTTCTGGCTCCATGATGATGCTGGCTGCCCCCAGCATATGGCATTTAGAGAGATTCTGCCACAGATCATTTAGCTATCAAGGCTCATTGGTAGATCTCTGCTCTGAGGTCGCCAGGTCTTTGCAGAGACCTTGCTCCTATGCTTTGTCTTCAGAGGTTAGCAAGTCAGGAAGCTCCTTCCCACTCCTTGATAAACTTCGTCTGCAAGGTGTTATGAAAATCTCAGGTGCAGCCTGCAGGTCACATCAGGCCTTTCCTGGTCAGCTGGCAGCCTTGCTTTCTACCAGGAATTTGTCTGTTTAAAGACAAACCAGCCACCACCACATCTTGGAGTAGTGAATTCTATAACTTCTCCTTCGCGGGAATGGCTGCAGGGGGGAGGAACTCTGCAGAAGCTGAGAGACACTCATGAGTCTGGTCCCCACGACACAATTGTTTCCTAAGTGCAGTACATTCATGCATTGTTTGTTCCTATGCTAATCTGTATGTGGGGCTCTGCTGCAGGAATGTCCACTTTCGTAAGTGGGGTAGATGGCTGTCAGAGACATGGCCTGCTTGGCTGTGGCACCGAGGACTGCAGAATGTCCTCCCAGGTTCATCTGTCAAGTCTCAGTTTCCTTTCAGTGTCTGTTAAAGACTTTTTTTAAGGCACTCAGGTCCTATAATTCCCCTTCTGCTTGTGGATTTCTGTTGACAGTGTTGGGGCTGATTTAAAGGGGTTTTTTTTTTAGTATTTTTGCATTTTTGTGTGTGTGTGCGCGCATGCCTGGAAGTCATGGCAACCTCTGGCGACTCCTACTGGGGCGTGGAGGACGTTCAGAGAAGTGGCTTGATAGCCTGCCTCTGCCTCCTGGCCCTGGTCTTCTTTGGAGGTGTCTCATCCCAGTACTTGCCAGGGTTGGCTCTGCTTGGCTTCTGAGGTCTGACGAGATCGGGCTTGCCTGGGCTATCCAGGTCAGGGCAAATTTCTGTGTATTTTTTTTTAAATTGGACTTTAAAAAGATTATGATAAATCACTTTGTATACCAACTTGTGAGTAGAAACATAGGATAGAAATGTTTTAAAATAAATGTAGGAGAAGATGACGGGGTGGACTGAGGCAGCAGTTAAATGTGCCCCCAACACCAGCCCGTAAAAACCAAGCCTGCTCCTGTCTTAGGTTCTGTTGGACACAGTGGAATGTGACAGATTGAGAGATGAGAACTGGCCACCTACCCGCTCCTCCACACACAGGCGCATGAAACACTGCACATTGTGGCCTTCAACTTAATTAAAGTCAGCTTCCAGACTATTTCAGGCCGCCTTGCATAGTATCATTTTGGCCTGACGGAACTGCAGGGTCAGTCAGGCTGGCTGAGAGTGTTGGCAGAGGGAAGCCCAGCCGCTTCTCACCCAGGAACAACAGATGATAAAATATAAAAGCAAAGCAGAATCCTGAATGAAGAGCAGGGGAGATTATTTATAATAATGGGAGTCAAACAGAAGGGGGAATAAGTCACTTTAAGGGTGCATAAATTTTTACGATGGCGCATAAACAGCCGTTCCTTGCCTAGTCTCTCCCCGTCTGTCCCCGCCAGGGGGGGGGGGGGGGGGATGGTGCCAAAAATAAAGGTGGATATAATCAGGCGGAGGGAGGGGACGGATGGGAAGGTCTGGAGGATTGATCGGGGAGTGGGTTTG